ATCAACTGGAAAATTCTCACTGATTATAGTGACTGATATCTGCACTGCCTGTGATAATAAAAATGAAAGATATCAAAATAATGGAACACCATTAAAACAAATAAAAAATTCCATCAATAAAACAAGTGGTAACCTCCCACCACCAATCCAAAACCTCTACACCAAAGACTACCCTAGATTAAAAAAACAACCACTTCTCCCTCCTAATAGAAGGATGACAAAAGAAAAGCTTGATCGCTCTTGACAGAAAATTCCAAGGTCTAGAAAAAGTAATTGAGAATGTCTTGCATTGCCTCTGGATATATCTTTGATGGTGGTGATAATCAAATGAAAAGACCTTTTCAACATCTTAAAGTCTGGGCAGACTGATAAGGAAGAATATCATTTTTAGATAGCCTAATTTCAAGCCATATAAAACTTTACAAATTATAATAGCATTTTTTTTATTTTTGCAAAGGAAAGATTGGCAATGAAGGGACTCATGTATTTGCTGCAACCAGTCAATAATTTGGCTAGGACACTCTGGACCCATTGAAATTTCTGAACAATTTTGAAAGATAGACCCAAATAAATCAATACTGCATTCCAAATGGAGTATGTGTCAGTATTTTTATTATAAGATTGAAAATATGTTTCAGTTTTTCTTAAAATAGCCTGCAAAACCTATCAGTTGGCAAAATAGTATCTCGGGAGAGCATTTCTCTTATACAATTCAAGCATAGTACAATTATTGTCTAAGAGTTACCTGCAGAGAGAGAGAGACAGAGAGAGAGAGAGAGAGAGACAGAGAGAGAGAGAGACAGAGAGAGAGGAAGGGAGGGAGGGAGAGAGGGAGGGAGAGAGAGGGAGGGAGGGGGAGAGAGAGGGGGAGAGAGGGAGGGAGGGAGAGAGAGAGAGAGAGGGAGAGGGAGAGGGAGGGAGGAAGAAACTACTGTCAACCACTAACTATAATTATCATCTGGACCAGAAATCTCTTTCATAATTAATCAAAATACTGAGTTAGATTCATATCAACTGTTATTTTACAATTGATATATGTACATGTTCCTCAATAAATAAAGCAGAAACAAGCTGTGAACTTTACAGAAATAGCATGATTGTTGGAATGACTTATTTCCACCTGTACAATTACATATTTTAGCTATTTATTCAAAAAACATTTAATACTATTTAGCTATAATGCAATACTGATGTCTATCATATGCTCTCTATATCTAGAAGTGTAGAAGATTCATGCAAATACTATCCAGGTTAGTATTTTTAAAAAATATAATTTATATGAATTAAAACTAGATCTAATTTAGTGGCTGACTTTCAGTTGAACCCACAGGTCCATTCCTGAGGCTAATTACTTCACAATATTACAAAATGAAGTTCAGAATGAAGTATAAGGATTGCAAACAAAACTAGTTTTCAAGGTAAAGAAACATTCAAGTGCTTCTGATATTTAAACTCATCCTAAATCATAAACTTTGATAATTTTCCTATTCAATATATGCTAAGTAAGTAGTAACCAAAGATTTTGAGGAATTCATTTGCTATGTGAAACTCCCTGATCCAGAGGTATGAACTCACGGTACAGAGAGAAGATGATTTTGCCACTCATAGCACATTTTGCCAAGCCATTCTCTTGATCAAATTTTAAAGCTTCTGATTTTCACAGGTCAAGGACTTCACCTTTACAATTGTTTCTGCATATGTAACACTATTGCAGGGTGCAGAGCTCACTGATCAGTTAAGAGAGTTCCAAATGTGATCAAGGTATTTATACAGATTTTTTAAAAAAAATACTTATAAAGAAAAAGATGCTAGACCCCAGAAGCAACTCTCAGCATGATGAAAGCAGCAGATGAAAGCCAGCTGAGTGACTTTGGGCCAGTCATTCTGTCTCAATCCAGCCCACTCACAATGTTGTTATTGTGCAGAAAATAGGAGGAGGAACATGTGTTGGACATGTTCGCCACCTTGAGTAATTCATAAAAATACTAAAAGTGGGGTACAAATAAAATAAAAATAAATAAAATAAACCCCTGTGGAGGTTGCTGGTAGGGCCCAAAGTTTCATATTAGAAAGTATAGAAAACAGATTTTAAAAAGAAAACAGTGCATAATTTAATTCCCAGACTATGGGACCATGCCAGGAAGGAAGATAGAAAAAAGAACAAATGAATGGAGTTCATTGTGAGACTAGATCCTTCACCAACAGTGTACAACTTGTCTGATGAACTACTAAAATAATTCATCTATATTGAAGTAACATGTTCTGTACAGAACAGAACTAGCCCAGTGTAATGCTGTCCCCACAGCTGCTTTGGAAGGGAAATATAGGAAAACCCCACATGAAACCCCAGCAGGGACAAGTTGATTAGTGAAATGGCTCTGCTATTTTTAACATTCCTTCATCTATTATTCTTTGCTTTGGTTTAATTTTTATACTTTTTAATGTATTTGTTAACCAATTTGTTAATTTGTTGTATGCCGTTCAGAGCCACTTGTTGGGATAAATTGGCTGAATGAATGAATGAATGAATGACCCCTGTAATTTGATGCTGTAAAAACCACAGTCCATATTCTTTTGTATTGTCAGCTCTACAGAGACATTGATTACTCTCTTTTATTTAAATTTCTGGGACACACTGATAACTTTGATTTGCTGTTAAGCAACCAAAATAAATCTATTTCTCTAAAAATAGCAATATTTTGTAACATTATGTGTATGCTTCACCCACAAATGGTTGCCAACAGTTATTGATGTGAGAGGATAATTTTGCTTTGTTTATTTTACAGAGTATAAAATGACCAAAAATAGTTTATGTTCTTTTCTGTATAGCCACTCAGATTCACTTCTATCTGGATTCCACATGGGCAGGGTCTGGTGTAATGATTGGGATATTATGTAGGGCTATTTTTGGCTGGTTCCTCTGAGTAAATGGCAGAAACATTATTTGCATTTTTTATATTGCACTAAATCAGGGGTCCTCAAACTACAGACCCTGGGCTGGATACGTGCAACGAGCATTTGTGTTGCTGCAGAGAGTCTCCCCCTTTGGGGTCTTTTTGTGTGGATCGGAGGGGGCAGAAATTCTGACTTGGGGTCTGCTTCAGCCTCCTTTTGCGGGGCTTTGGGTGAAGGCTGGAGGGAAGTGCCGCTGATGGCAAAGAGTCGGAGGGCCTTGTTCCAGTGGGACTGTATCATGGTCTGGAACTGGCTGACCATCTCAGCCCACTGAGCCTCCAAGTGTCAGTACCTGGCCTTGCACTCCCTCAGGTCTTCTCTCTGCTTGGAACGCCTATGCTCGTAGTCCTCAGTGAGATGCTTTTGCTGAGCTTCCTTCTCAGTCAGATCCAATTTCAACTGAGCCAACTGTTTTGCCAACCCTTTCTCATGGTGGCTGCTTAGCTCCAACAACTGCTTCCTGTTGGGGCCCTAAGGAGCCCAGCCGGGCAGGCAAGGAGGGGCTGGGAGGGGAGGGTAGAGGCCGGCGAGGCACCCCTTGATGTGAGTGACATCAAGTTGGCCATACCCATCCAGTCACATGACCACCTAGCCACACTCACCCAGCCAGTTATTAAGCAGATCGTATTAGTGGTCCACGGGATTTAAAATTAGGAATTTAGTGATCCCTGAGGTCTGAAAGGTTGGTGACCCCTGCTCTAGGATACCCTCAGTTACCTGCTGGCAGGATCTTTGGATAGCTGGAGGAAAGTCGTTTCCTAGATCCAAGAGGTTAATTGTTCCTTGACCAGAGGATGATACTGGTGTCCTTAAAAGAAGTCACAGCCTTCTTTAAAGGGGAACTATTAATTAGTACCTGGTCTTTTTTTTAAATGAAGATGGTTCAGAATCAACTACAAATCACTCTAGAGATAAGGATTATCTAGACCCATACTAGACATCATTGGTTGCTTTGATTGATGACTTTTGGTATGTCTATACTAGTCTTGTACAACTTCTCATCAACCTCGGTATCATCCTGGACTGTCTGTTGTGGTTAGAGATTGGGAGTAGTAGTTCTACTTCTATCTTGGTAGATAGCAATAGCAATAGCACTTAGATTTATATACCACTTCACAGTGCTTTACATCCCTCTCTAAGTGGTTTTACAGAGTCAGCATATTGCCCCTAACAATTTGGGTCCTCATTTTACCCATCTCAGAAGGATGGAAGGCTGAGTCAACCTTGAGACTGGTGGGATTTGAACTGCCAAATTGCAGGCAGCCGGCAGTCAGCAGAAGTAGCCTGCAGTACTGCATTCTCACCACTGTGCCACCATGGTTCCAGTCAGTAGTGATAGGGGAGGAAAAATCAGCTTAGTGGTTCTTCCTTTGTACTGTACTTCAGGCATCAGTTTTCTCCCTCTTTCTATATAAAGCCACTGGGAGATGCCATTTAGCTATTTGAGATGATACCCAGATATACATCATGAACCCAGACTGACCTGATGCCGCCAAAGCGAAATGTAAAGTGCTGGTGTTAACCCATAAAGCTTTTCATGGCTTGCGGCTCAGTTACTTACAGGACCATATCTATGGAACAGAAGTCAATTACAATTGTGGCAAAAGAAATAGGTGATTGTTCCTCCCTTTTGCTTGGATTGGAGGGAGGTCAGACAATTGGAAGTACTGTTTATCACTGGTGGTGCCAGAAAGATCTCTGGTTGCAGCTAGATCTACACTTATCTTGGACACCTTCCAGAAGATGTTGAACATCCAACCTTTCCAAATGCCATTTAGGTCATGATTGTCTTTGTTTGGGTTTTATGGGTTTTCATTTTTTTTTAAACGTTGGTATTTTTGTTTATTCTACTGGTAAGCTATTCATTGTTTGTTGGGTTGCAGTGAAATAAAAAACTGAATAAATAATAATAAATATTGATACAACTAATACTGATGAAATATAAATGTCCAATCTAGGCTATTTATGAGAATAGCAAGGGGCAAAAGTCATTAAAATATTATAGTATTAATAACATCTTTGCAAATTCCTTGGGAGATCCTTACCTCTTCCTTGGTCTTTTTGGATATAACTCTTAGCCAATCGCCAATCATGCTCAAGACAGCAGCAAAATATGCAAGACCCACCAGAATCCAGAACCACACAACTGGTTTGTAAAAGTCAAAATATTCAATATCTGATCCCCCTAAAAAGAAATCAAATAAATATAGATTTGCATTGGATATCTGTTTCCTGTCCATTATACTTCTTTACTATTTATTAAAAGTTATTAACTTCACAGAACAACACAGGTAAGACCAAAGTCAACTCAATATTAAATTAACAGATAGCATTATATTCCAAGCAGTTTAATACAATTTCAGTGGTAAAGATAACTTGTTCTTAAATCAAACAGTTTTTTGAACATAATACTAAATTGTGATTTGGTATACCATGAATGTGTATTCTCCTTTTCAGAAGCAACTGATTCTTCTTTGAAACTGAGCACTTTCTCCATTAAACTGATAAAGTCTTACTCAGAAGGACCTGCCCTTCTATAATAGCAAGGATCAACCTATGATCATACCTCCTATTTTTAATGTTCATAGAAAATCAACCTCCTAAGTCATATTAACAATCCATGTTCTTACCCAGTTTCCCCCATAAACTTCATTCAAACAAGCACCTAGCAAATCAGCAGTGCCAAAAACTAATGACACTGATATGTGACTTTTCTAACAGCTCCCTCCAATCAGCTAGCTCCAACCACCAGTTCTAGTAGCAATATAGAAACACAGCAACCTTCCTCTTTCCAAACCTTCAATTTTTATTTTATTTATGTACTTGCATTGACAGAGTCTTCAAAGACTGGGAATTAACAGTAATTCTGCCAAATTTTAAGAAAGGAAGGGGAAGAGCTGCAATCAAGTTATTAGCAAAACAAACTGGTTAACATAGCAAGATTTACAATAGGCCTTCATACTAAAAGTTGATAGACTCGTTTCTCATGGAAACAATTCCCACTGATGAGAGGAAAGACACAAAATATGCCAAAGGATTGTACTGAGCCATTAGTTTTAGAGATATACAAGCCACGGCTTGTACTTTATGTTGCTTTTACTGATTTTAATGTCTACATTTCTTGGGAGAAAACTAAAACCTGTATCAATTAAATGTTGATTGCTTGCTCTTAGCTCTAAGAGCATGTGAATAGTGTAGCTAGGGAAGACTGCAATGGATAGTTTTCCTATCTAAATATTAAATACAGTCTACTAAATACTAGAGTGAATAAAACTCCACGAATCATCAAATCATCAATGGACAGAGATACAATTAAGAGATAAAAGCAAGAAAAATGACGTAAGGATGGTATCATCATCATCATTTTATGATTTATGAATTTGAAGATTAAAAAAGTTAAAGAGGAAGGGAAAAGTATTAAGATGGAAATTACTCAATAGAAAGAAGGGTGGAGGACATATTTCTGGGTTTTCTTTCTTTTTTACTTTCATTTTTCTCACTTTTAATCTTTTTCTAATTTTTCTTTTTCTTTTTAATCTTTTACTGTATTGAAAACTCTAATAAAATATTGAAGAAGTAGTATACAATTATTGAAGAAGAAGAAGAATTGAGACTCTGAAAAGAGTGCAGAGAAGAGCAACAAAGATGATTAGGGACCTGGAAGCTAAAACCTATGATGAATGGTTGTGACCATCATCTTCAGTCCTTGGATCAGTGTTTCTCTACCTTTACTTTAAGATATGTGCATTTGAAGTCAAAGGCCACGCATTTTAAAGTTGCTCAGGTTGAGAAACATTGCCTTGGATAAAAAGAAAACTATTTTGTATGCTGCTCAGAACACAGAAAAGAATTCAGAAAGTATTTGTCCTTCCACAGCAAGGGAACCAGTTATATTCTAGCTGTGATTAAACTTTCTATCATCATATTTGGCACAATATTTGGAACCTATAATAGGTATAACCCTGCTGTCTACTGAGATGGTGGCTTACTGTGATAGATTATGGTAGAATTTCCTTAAATATAGTAGGTAAGAATCCCATCTGCACTACAGACCATGGCATAAATAAGGTGAAGGCAGGAAATAAATATTTTTGGACCTGCAAGCACACAAAGCTTCCTGGGCTCCCGTTGCTTAGAGTATTCAACAATTCTGACCATGTGGGATAGGACTACAATATCTGGCTGCTGAAATACCTGATGTGACATAGCTCAGATGTGATCTGCACAAGATAGTTTTTTGGGGGTAGGCAATGGAATATGAGGTTGTGTGGAAGGGAGTAATTTGAGTTGACTTACGAAGTGAGCTTGATACCCTTAGCTGCTGCTGGAAAAAGGGGCTGTGTGGCCATCCCTTTTTCCTTGTTTTCCCCAATTACTGCAGTCTAGAAGTGGAGCTTAATATCTGAGTCCTCTCATCATTGAGAGGCCTCATCTAAGAAGGGGCCAAGCGAGTTCAGCTCCTGCCTTGATCATTTATTCTTGCAACTCAGTGTCTTTCTCTCTGAAATTATTAAGGTTGACAGAAGGAAGGTTTCTGTTTCTTTTTGAATAACAGAATAACAGAGTTGGAAGGTACCTTGGAGGTCTTCTAGTCCAACCCCCTGCTCAGGCAGGAAACCATATACCACTTCAGACAAATGTTCTCCAATCTCTTCTTAAAAATTTCCAGAGTTGGAGTATCCATAACTTCTGGAAGCAAGTTGTTCCACTGATTAATTATTCTAACTGTCAGGAAATTTCTCCTTAATTCTAGGTTGCTTCTCTCCTTGATCAGTTTCCATCTGTTTCTTGTCCTGCCTTCAAATACTTTGGAGAATAGGTCCCTCTTTAATAATCATTTACTCTCTCTCGCTCTTTATCATTCTAGCTTTTTCCCCACTAAGTGTTTTAGAAATTTAGTGTTTAATTCACAAAGTACTCAAGGTCTACTATATTTTAATTTTATTGTAATTTGTTTACCTTTTTTCTTTCCTTGCATCCTGAAACTTTTGTTATCTAAGTAACACTGGCAAACTATTACTAAAATATAAAGTTGATTATTTTCTGCATTGCATTTATGATTGCTGCCTGTTTCTGCATCTCCCTACTATGTCATCTAGTATTAAAGCAACTGACTCCAATGATTGAAGCACAAAATACAGGTACTCCTCAAATTATAACTGATTTCTTAGTGACTGTTCAGAGTTAAGATGGACCACTAAAAGGTACTCACAGTTCCAATCCAGTTCCAAAGTTCTTATGGATGCTCACCCACCCCCCCATAGTCATCAGATCGCATTTCAGGTGCTCAGCAGCCAGGCCTCATTTGCAGTCATTTGCAGCATCCTGCAATCACATGACCATGATTTTTTTTGCCAAAACCCAGTTAACTTCCAGTTTTCAACAAAAATGTCTGATAGCATTTTTGCTAATAGATAGGTTTGCTTAATGACCACAGCAGAAAAAGATCATAAGACTGAGTCTGTCACATGATGATCCACTTTGCAATCACCATGACTGACAACCATAATGAGCAGGTTCCACTAAGGACATAAGATGAGGACTACCTGTATTTTTGGCATTTCATGGCAACTTGAGGTAAAAGCTCTCATGCATGTTTAATAGTACTTTCAATTACAAGTTAAGCAATTTCATTCATTCCAGTGAATTAGTGAAATTGCTGAAATCTTCCTCTTAATATTCCAGGCCACTGCTCCAGCCCTCAGCCAGTGGGCAATCCGATCATCAGCACCAACATATTAAACCTAAGAAGCAGTCTACTGATACTAATTATGGATGTATTTAAATCTGGCAGGGCATAAATGCTGCAATAAATAAATAAATAAATAAGGCAGAAGCATTATAAACAGAATGCATCAGACTTTCAAATAAAATCTTGGAAATGCAAGCAAAACATTTAGTCTGCTACCAACAGTAGCCAAAACCTGCTTGGCAACCTGATCCTATATTTAGAGGTGATTGTACTGTTTTCCAGCAAGGCACCAGATTCAAAGATCATTTAAATTAAACATTGATTTCCACTTCACATTTCTGTTCATCTAGGGAACAATCAGAGACTGAAATTCAGAAAGATATCATAGAGATATGGTAGATAAAACTTTTTATTTGAGTTAATTCAGATTACTATTTTCTTCTACTTTCTGTCATCTGCCATAACTTGCTATGTAGATTGGGGGGGGGGGGGCAATAGGCTTGTAGAGAGTAGAGATGAGCCAAAGGGGAAAGGGTGACAGGGTTGACAGAAACCAGAGGTATGAAAGTCAGCTTGTTCTAGTCTTCAAGGCTGCGGGGCCTGGAAAAGGAATGTGAATTGCACCAAGTGGGACTAAACATCTGAGCATTCCCAAAACACCTATATGGCACACCATTGGATGAAGACAAACCTGTCAAGGGAGGAAGGCTGGGGAGAAGGGGAAAATCTGTAACTCTTTGTGAGGGAACATTAATTCTAGTCTGCTTCTGCTGCAACCACTAATCCTTAGTAAAAGAGCCTATCACTTCAAATGGAATCAAGGGACTTTCTTTCCTAGGGAGATAGCTGGGACCACTTTCTCCCTTTAGCCATGCATTGAATGTTTCTTTCTTCCATGAAAAGACAGGATATATATACACCAGCAATTCAAGTTATACTTTATTTTTCTCTCACACGCACATTAAAAATTGCTGAGATTTTTGTCACTCTAATGTACTTAAAATTTTGCTGTTGTTTTTAATTACACAGAAGATTGAAGGCTAAACATTGTCTATTTTCTCCCTTTCTCTTTTTAAAGCACTTGGGAATTTGAAACACAGTATTGGAAGTTATTATTTGACCTCAGTGGTTTTGTCTAGGTAATTCTGTCAGGTTCATGATAACTAATATTTTCTAAGATAGAACCTTTCTTCCCTGGAACAGCCTGGATGAGCAACAGGAAGCAACCTGTTAGTTGGTTTATAGAAGGATGAAGAGACAGAAGCAAAGATCCCTTTCAATACCCTAGCCTAGAAATTAAAAACGGGGTAGGGTGTTTGGCCTGCCTGGAGACATGAGTAAGAGGAGGAGCTTGCTGTGAGAAACCATCTCTAAGCATGTTGGGCTCCAAGTCGCACCTTCTGACATTTAGGCTATCCTACCTTCTCTACTTAGGAATGTGTTCTTCTTGAATTCTATTTCCTTCCTTCTTTCCTTGTTCTCTCCCTCCCTCCCATCCATCCATCCATCTATCCTTCTATTTCAAAAGATGGCAAGGCACAGCAAAAAGAAGAAAAAACATTTAATAGCACAGATGCACAGAACCTATATTAATAACTGTGATTTTCTTTATAGTAGTGAAAACTATAAAAACAGGGAGAGCTGCAGGGACAAATCATTATATTAATGTACAATAATAGAGACTACTAATCTACTTGGTGTTCCAGTTTCAGTTAAGTGGCCTTTGGTACATACTGTTCTTACTATAAACATAACCAGGATATATTTTAGTGCATAAAAACAAGACAAAAAGATTGATGTTCTAGCTCTGAAAAAGACACCAGTTTTAAAGCAAGTCCATGTCCCTATAATAGATATTAATGCATGAAAGTCACTGAACTTTCACTACATGGGGCTCCCCTTGAAAAGCACCCGGAGGTGCTTTTGGATCAACTGGACCAACTGGTCCAGAATGCGGCCGCGCGGGTGGTTATGGGCGCAACTCGTTGTGCCCACGTGACACCCCTCCTGCGTGAGCTGCACTGGCTTCCAGTGGTCTTCCGGGTGCAATTCAAGGTGTTGGTTACCACCTTTAAAGCGCTCCATGGCATTGGACCTGGATACCTTCGAGACTGTCTTCTGCTACCAGTAGCCTCCCACCGGCCAGTTCGCTCCCACAGAGAGGGTCTCCTCAGGGTGCCATTGGCCAAATTATGTCGGCTGATGACACCCAAGGGGAGGGCCTTCTCTGTGGGAGCCCTGCCCTTTGGAATGAACTGCCCCCAGAAATTCGTAAAATCTCTGATCTCCGTGTATTTCGCTGTGCCCTCAAAACCTTGTTGTTCCGCCAGGCTGGGCTATCAATGTAAAGATTTTAATTGGTTTTTAAATATGGGATTTTAAATTTGGGGGTTTTAAAATTGAGCCTATCATTTAATAATTTTAATAATTTTAAATTTTGTCTGTCTTTGTGTTTTTAATCAGGCTGTACACTGCCCTGAGTCCTTCGGGAGAAGGGCGGTATAGAAATAAAATTAATAAAATAAATTAATAAAAATAAACTTTTAAAAATAGATATGGATCCCAATGTATATCTGACACCTTTATACATAGGAAAAACTAAACATTCAGGCTAGAAAAAATTATGTTAGTGATGCCTCCCCCCAGAGATACGTACAATAACAGACTCCGGATTTTTCGTTGGGCCCTGAAAACCTATTTATTTCAACTAGCTGGGCTGGCTTGAGTTAAATTTTAAAATTGATTTTAAATTGGGTTGTTTTAATTTACGGCCAAAATATTTAATTATTTTAAACTGTTTTTAAATTTTGTATGTTCTGTTTTTTACTTTGGCTGTTCACCGCCCTGAGTCCTATTTGGAGAAGGGCGGTATAGAAATGGAAACAAACAAACAAACAAACAAACAAACAAATAAATAAATAAATAAATAAGTTTATTTATTTATTTATTTATTTGTTTGTTTGTTTGTTTGTTTGTTTATTTATTTATTATTCAAATTTCTATACCGCCCTTCTCCTTTCGGACTCAGGGCGGTGAACAGCCAAAATAAAAACATCTATACATAACATTACAGTTAAAAATAGAGTTAAAATAATTTATAAATTTGGCCCGTAATTTAAAACTTGTCAATTTAAAATCAATATTAAAATTTTAAAACTAACCCTAAAATCAAGACAGACCGGCTAACTGAAAAAAATAAGTTTTTAGGGCCCGACGAAAAGTCCGGAGGTCGGAGATCACTCATATCTCTGGGGGTAGATTGTTCCATAGGGTAGGTGCCACCACAGAGAAGGCTCTCCTCCTGGGGGTCGCCAGCCAGCATTGTCTGGCCGACGGCACCCTGAGGAGGCCCTCTCTGTGCGAGCGTACTGGCCGGTGGGAGGCTATTTGCGGCAGAAGGCGGTCTCGTAGATACCCCGGCCCTAAGCCATGGAGCGCTTTAAAGGTGATCACCAACACCTTGAAGCGCACCCGGAAGTCCACCGGAAGCCAATGCAGCTCGTGCAGGAGAGGAGTCACATGGGAGCGCCCCGTCGCTCCCATAATCCCCCGCACGGCTGCATTCTACACCAGTTGGAGCCTCCTGGTGTACCCCAAGGGGAGCCCCATGTAGAGAGCATTACAATAGTCCAGACGAGAGGTGACGAGTGCTTGAGTGACCATGCGTAGGGAGTCCCGGTCCAGAAAGGGGCGCAACTGGTGTATCAGGCGAACCTGACAAAAAGCCCCCCTGGCCAGGGCCATCATATGCCCTTCTAAAGACAGCCGTGCATCCAGGAGGACACCCAAGTTGCGGGCCCTCTCCGTGGGGGCCAATGATTTGCCAATAACCAGCGATGGCGTCAGCTGGCTATACCGGGACGCCGGCAGCCACAGCCACTCGGTCTTGGAAGGGTTGAGTCGAAGCCTGTTTCTCCCCATCCAGACCCGCACAGCCTCCAGGCACTGGGACATCACTTCCAAGGCATCATTGGGATGGTCTGGGGTAGAAATGTACAGCTGAGTATCATCAGCGTACTGATGGAACTCCACCCCAAAACCACAGATGATCTCACCCAGTGGCTTCACATAAATGTTGAACAGGAGGGGCGAGAGGACCGACCCTTGTGGCACCCCACAAACAAGGCACCTTGGGGTCGACAGCTGCCCCCCTATCAACACGGATTGCGACCGGTCGGAGAGATAGGAGGAGAACCACCGCAAAACGGTGCCCCCCACTCCCAGTCCCTCCAGCCGGCGCAACATGATACCATGGTCGATGGTATCAAAAGCCGCTGAGAGGTCTAATAGGACCAGGATAGAGGAATAACCCCTATCCCGGGCCCTCCAGAGATCATCCACCAATGCGACCAATGCCGTTTCCGTGCTGTACCCAGGTCTGAAGCCGGACTGGAGCGGATCCAGATAGAAAATGCCATTTTCATCTTACAAACTAAACGTATTATATGCAAATATGAATATAAAATATAACAGCACACCATATCCATCCATACAAATACTGGCTTTTATGACATATTCCATATATATATATTAATTATAAGGCATGATTATGAGCCTGATTCTCAATCTTATATCCTTTCTTTGCCTGTTGTAACTAGCTTATAGGGCAACAACGTTCTCTTTTGCAAATTGATTGATTATGTGCCATTTTATATAATATATAGTAGCAGCATGAAAATAAATCTGCATAAATAAGATAAGATAGGAAAACTGAAGAAGCAATGTAGATAGATCTATACTATGCATAGTATGGATCTATCTATGCACAGTGGTATTTACAAGAGTGTTACACTACCATGCAGATGTGATACAGTCTTATAAAACACAAATTATATAGAGATTCTAATTTCTTCTCACCTGAATATTTAATAGAATCAAATAAAGCAATTTAGCTTAGTTTCCAGCTGTCAATGTCTCCTAAGAGATCTTAGGAATGAGAGCAATGAAACTCATAAGATTTAGGACTTTTCAAGATATTGCTCATTTTTTATGCTTGGATATTGACCTGTATCATCATTCGGGCAATCTCATACAAAAGCACCTAAAAATGTGATGATACCTTATTTTACCATTTTAAAGTTAGTTAATTAATGAATTGAATGGTATTCTTTCTCATGGGAAATGTTTGGTAAAATATGTAGTAAACTTGAAGCAAAACTTTAAAGGTTTTTGAATGGAGCAAGCATATTGCATTCAAAAGGTCTCTACTTCAATTCTAACAGGGAGACCTAGATAAAACACCAGACTGGCATGCTGGAAAAAATACTGCTAGATCAATATTGATGGCTGTGCTTGCAACGATATACACTGAGAAGGCATTTATGTACATAATAAAGGTATATGGTTTATTTTTCCACATAGAACTTGGTAAAATATTACCTGCAACATAATCACCAAATCCAATTGTTGTTAAGGTGATAACTACAAAATAAATTGCGTCTAATGTATTCCAGCCTTCTATGTGCTTGAAAATGACTGCTGGAAGAGCAACAAACAGAACACAGCCAAACAGTATGAATATTATTGTTGATATTATGCGGATCTTTGTCTGACTCACATTCCATTTCTGTGATGGGAGGAAAGAATAAACACAGGGGATGGAAGAAGAGAGAGAAAGAGAGGGGAAAAGAATCCATTATTAGTAATAAGTAATATTATTTCACGCATGTATATGTAGGTATGCATTTATAAAATGTGTAAATCTTTCTACTAAAACCCAGGTGACATCGTCTGCAAAGTTTTAAATGAAAATAGATGACTAAACAGTTCTAACAGTGTAATCAAAGGGTGACAGAATAAATCAAAGCCATTGCAAAATCACAAGGTTAAAAAAAAGGTTTTTCAATATTTGTCTGTAAAGTATTTATAGCAGATATACAGTGGGTCTCTAGGAATATTTCCCAGTAATCACTATCAAACCCACCAAGCATATATGGAATTGTTTATGATGAAAACGAAATAGATGGGTAACCCTTCATACAAGCATTGATCATTAAATTTGTCTGCTCCCATGGATATTTATCTAGGAGAATGTAATTGCTATCAATGGGATTCGATGCCAAGTAACTGTCCATGAAATTGCAACCATGTGCAATGAATAAATAGGAGCAGAGGGAAGCTAAATTTCAAATTTATTCTCATTCCCTTTCAAGTATAGAAACTTCAGGATTCATCATGTCAACCCACTTCTGCAAATACAGTAGGTAGAAGAGGGAAAGGAAAAAAAAAACAGCGTAAGGTGAATAGGTGGTGCAAATAACATTTAAATGAATATTTATTGGATGCATTTCACTACAAATTGTTTATACCAAGAATAATCTACCTTTCTTCAATAGTTCCACCTGCAATAGCTATTCACAGCATGAAGCCAACCTACCACAGTTATAGTTACCAAATTTTATATACAGTTCTTCAAGAAAGGGATTCTTCCAATAAAAAGTAGGAAATTCTCTTAAGAAGAAAATGATATAACAAAAATACCAAATTACAGTGTATGTCATACAAAATGTTCATACTTTTTTCATGATGTCAAGTGTTAGATTGGTTAGATAAAATACTCTAATCTGATTTCAATACATTTTGTATTCAAGCAATTTATTTCCATTGATAATTCCTGACCTGAATATCAGTAACAGAATTTCCTTCAAAGTCATTATAACATAGAAGATGGTATCTTAGGGCTGGAAGGGACCTTGGAGTCTACTAGTCCAACCCCCTATTCAAAGCAAACAACCGTATACCATCCTGTCAAATCGCTGTCCAAAAATCGCGGTTTTTGAAAATTTCCCGTGATGGAGCATCCACAACTCTGGGAGGTAAGTTATTCCATTCATTTAACTGTTCTCCCTGTCAGGAAAAAAATCTCCTTATTTCTAGGCTGCATCTCTAACAAGCTTCCACCCATTACTTGTTTTACTGAACTGTTGATAATTTATTTAGGAAAATGTCATACATTTGAAATAGGATATTACATACAAGTAAAAAAGCTGAAAGGGGTTTCTGCCCCTATTGGAAGACCTGGAAAAGGGTTCTGTACCTGTAAAATGTAGGAACAGGACACTCTTTCAAATACAGCAAACATTTGCCAAAAGATATTTTGAGGGAAATTCCATCAACTCTCTACCTGATTAAGAGAATGACATTGTGCCCACAGCACAAAATTCTTTCTCATAGATTTAAGCTACCTTCATAACATACTCTTTAGGATCTCTTAATATTATTATAATTGGTGTAGGTTCAATAATAATAGCACTTAGACTTATATACCATTCCATAGTGCTTTATGGCATTCTCTGAGCAATTTACAATATAAACATTATTTGCATATTGCCCCAACAATCTGGATCCTCATTTTACCAAACTCTGAAGAATGGAAGGCTGAATCAATGTTGATCGAACTCCTGGCTGTGGGCAGAGTTAGCCTTTGATACTGCATTCTAACCACTGTGCCACCACAGCTCATACAACCAAGTGGTGTACATGATCTCTATCATCATTTTTGTTGTTAGTTGCGAAGTCGTGTTCGACCCATCGCGACCCCATGGACAACATTCCTCCAGGCCTTCCTGTCCTCTACCATCCCCTGGAGTCCATTCAAGCTCACGCCCACTGTTTCAGTGACTCCATCCAGCCACCTCATTCTCTGTTGTCTCCTTCTTCCTTTGCCCTCAATCTTCCCCAGCATTAGGTTCTTCTCCAGTGAGTCCTTCCTTCTCATTAGGTTGCCAAAATATTTGAGTTTCATCTTCAGGATCTGGCCTTCTAAAGAGCAGTCAGGGTTGATCTCCTCTTGGACTGACCGGTTTGATCACCTTGCAGTCCAAGGGACTCGCAGGAGTCTTCTCCAGCACCATAGTTCAAAGGCCTCAATTCTTTGCCGCTCAACCTTTCTTATGGTCCAACTTCTATCATCATATGTTTGCTCTATGAAAATCTGTGTGTCTCTCAAATGGACTGAAGACATGTGGAAGCTCAGTAACTATAAACTGTTTTGTATTTTGCCTGAAGAGAACTGTATTGCCTGGGAGTCAATAGAGAGCAAAACTGTACAGGTAGTCCTCAATTTATGACCACAACTGAACCATTGCTAAGCAAGACAGTTGTTATATGGGTTTTGCCCCATTTTACCACCTTTCTTGCCATAGTTGTTAAGTGAATCATTGCAGTTAGTAAGTTAATAACACGGTTGTTAAATGAGTCTGGGTTCCCCATTGACTTTGCTTGTCAATGTCACAAAAAGTGATCACATAACCCCATCATAAATATATGCAAGTTTCCAAGATTGCTTTCAAGTGTGGCTTGCCTTCTGGAATATAGGAATCCTGGACTTCAGCCATATATTTACTATGTTCTTGGTACAGTATAGAAATATTTTCCCATTGCTTTTTGAAGATGTTTTCAGACTTTTCCATCTAGCCTACAGTCTAGATCAGGTGTCAGCAACGCACGGCTCTGGAGTTACATGCGGCTCTTTGGGCTCTCTGCTGTGGCTCCTTGTCAGGTCATCCCACCACTGGCTTGCCCCGTCCCTTGCCCTCCCCTCCCAATTACTCCTTGCCTGGCCTGAGAAGGTAAGGGTGATGGCGGGAAATGGAGAAGTGGCCAGGGCTGATTCTCCGGCGCCTCACTCTTGCTGGAGCTTCTTCCAGCTCTTGTTGGTGTTGGGCATGCTTCAGTCACTTGGGGAGATCCACAACCTGCTCTACACCCCACTGGCCTGACCCGACTAGCCCAATCACTAGCCCGACCCAAAATTTGGGCTGGCTGAGGAACAAGCATGAGCCGCGGCAGAGGCTTCCCTTCAGGTGACCCTCCTACTCCTCACCCTTCTTCTCCTCTTGCAACCCCCTGGCCAACTGTGGCAGGACTTGGAGGGTGAGCATGAGTGGGGACACCCTCCTCAAGTGAGTGGCACAGCAAAGCACTCAAGTGGGTTCGGCACAGCAAAGCGCAGCAAAAATAAAGCAAAGGCGTGCATGGGGAGGGCGGCTGCTCACTTGAGGAGGGTCTCCCCCCCTCGTGCACACCCTCCCAGACCCACCACAGCTGGCCAGGGGGTCATGAAGGAGAAGGAGGGGGAGGAAGAGGAAGAGGAGGATCACCCAAAGGGAAGCCTCCACTGCTGCTCACGCTCATTCCTCAGCCAGCCCGGATTTCCAAAGAGTTACCAAGAAGAGAGAAGGGGAAGAGAGAGAGAGAGAGAGAGAGAGAGAGGGAGGGAGGGGGGGAGAAAGAGGGGGAGAGAAAGACAGAGATACAGAGAGGGAGAGGGGGAGATAGAAAGGGAGGGGGGAGAGAGAGACAGAGAGAGATACAGAGAATGGGGGGAGAGAGGGGAGAGAGAGATATACAGAGAGGGGTGAAGATAGAGAGGGAGACGGGGGAGAGAGATACAGAGAGAGGGGGGAGAGGGAGGGAGAGGGAGGGGAGAGAGAGAAGTCCAAAGGGTTTTGTGGTTCCCAATGTTTTTTAACAACCGGTTCTCTGCCCTAATGACCGGCTGGGTAGGCATGACTGGGGGGGGTCAATTGACTGGGTGGGAGTGAGTGATGTCGAGTTGGCCATGCCCACCCTGGTTTTGTGGTGTTTTCTTTTCTGTGGGAAAAGTGTCCAAATGGCTTTTTGAGTGTTTAAGGTTACAGACCCATGGCCTATATTATTCTCTGAATGTCTCCCATACAAGAGCTAACCAGGCTCATCCCTGGTTAGCTTCCAAACTGGGACATCTTATGTCAAACTAGATGTTTAGACAAATGAATGTAATTTGGGACCCTCAATTTGTTTGAAAAGTAGTTGAAAAGCACCATTAAATTCAAGACTGGTGAGAATACTAGCCCCCTCTTTTTTCTTTTGATCTAAATCACATCCTTCTATTCCCACTATTATCACTTGTACAGACATGCACCCATACCATTGGCCTTGTTGGGTTAAATGTCTGTTTGGACACATGAACACACAAGTCTTAATGCTAAATAAGAGGGTATTTAGAGGTGAAAGGCTGTTAAGTGAACAATTAAATGCTGCTTCTGTTTTTCCATGAATGTTTTTAGTATTAAAGTGGACAAGGACAAAGATGAATAAGAAAGAGAACATGTCTTTGCATGCAACACTGAATTTATTTTAAAATTAAAGATAATACAACATTCTAAGGTGTATTTATAGGAGGAAATAGTTTTTATCAATACACTGTTATGTGCAGTTTACTTTATGCCAGACTTTTAACCACGAAGGCATGATCAAAATCAAATATCTGTAATAAAACATTTTCAAAGTTAACAGAACTTAAACATCTTTCAGAACAATGTATCTGCAGAACAATCATATCATATCTGCAATGTATGTAGCATACTCACAACAAATGTGTCTTCTACTCTGGCGATCCCTTTCCCAAATATGGTCCCTAGTTGATCTCCAACTCCGGCCAACAGAAAACCAAAGAGAGGGATTCCCAGTAAGGCATAGATGATACAGAATATTTTTCCACCTTCTGTACGTGGTGAGATGTTCCCAAATCCTAAATTACAAACAACTTGAGCTGTTGATAAATCAGTTAAAGGCATTAAATTACACATCTAATTAGCACTGCAGATAAGGACACTTTTTAAATGTGCCACAGGAATATAGATCCCATTAATTAAAAGATTAATACAGAGATTCTATACTAATTGGATTGCTAAATTCATCTCAAATTGAACTGCATTGGGAATTCTTCAAAAAAATCAATCTTTTTCACGTAGGTGAAACAAATAGTGGAAAGATTCTCTTCAAAATGCACTCTCTATAGAGGTTTATTCAGAAATATTTTTAATTTATTTCATTAGAACTAAGTTCTCAGACAGTTACTAAATAATGTATAGCTACTGTATAAAAGGTTCTGGTGCCACCTACCACACTATTTCAAATCCTCTTTTTCCACTGTCCACTTATAGTCACTGACTATAAGATTTACAACTTTAATTGCACATAGCAGTAGCACTTAGACTTATATACCATCCCATGGTATTTTACAGCACTCTCTAAGTGGTTTAAAGAGTCAGCATAATGCCCCCAACAATCTGGGTCCTCATTTTACTGATCTCAGAAGGATGGAAGGTGAGTTAACCTTGAGACAGTGAGGATCGAACCTCTGGCAGTCAGAAGAATTAGCCTGCAATACTGCATTCTAACCACTGTGCCACCAGTCTCTTCATATAGACTGGATGATTCAATTTTATATTCTATTTTCCTCCCCAAAATTGTTGTATAAATGATTGCGTAACTCTTTTCTATAAATGATATGACTTAAGATGCAAGCAAGATGTCAAGCAAGATAATGTAACTTTTCATATATTCTTGGCATCCTCCAAGGTTCCTACTCTACTGAACTCTTAAAGCATTTTAATTTTAAAAAGAACATACAGCTAGCACGTTGCAAAGGCCTGTCTCAGACATAGCCCGTACTTCCAACAATACTTCTCACCTCCAGATAGATTTCAGAGGCATATTTAGAAAATAAATTATTAGAACTTCCAGTCCAATGGTCTGTATGCCTTCTGGATCGAGGTCTTTTATCTGGCGACATCTATATAGCAACTATTTCATGAGAGTGCTCACAATATATCCTCAAACTCCAAACACCCTCCAGTCCCAGTGGTGGGTTTCAAATTTTTTTACTACCGGTTCTTTGGGCGTGGCTTGATGGGCGTAGCAGAGGAAGGATACTGTAAACTTTCCATTCCCTCCCCACTCCAGTGGAAGGTTACTGCAAAATCCCCATTTCCTCCTGATCAGCTGGGACTTGGGAGGCAGAATAGATGGGGCGGGGCCAGTCAGAATTTTTATTACCGGTACTCCGAACTACTCAAAATTTCCGCTACCAGTTCTCTAGAACTGGTCAGAACCTGCTGAAACCCACCTCTGCCCAGCCCCCTAAAATTTAGGCAATCACAAAGCTTTTGGATCAAAATGATCTTATATGAACTTAGTATTATGCTTACTTATATATCTTCATTGTATCTTTTAAAATCAGGAATAGCAATAATCTATAATCCATTTCTTTTCATTTATCTTCATGGTATTATTATTTTACGAAACCATGAAATAAAGCAGTAGGTTAGGGGAACTAGTATAACTAATGAACGTGAAACCAGCAATGACGAATATGAAAGAGCTTAAAACTCACGGTCACACTTACATATTAATTGTGTCAATAAATAGCATATTCAGTGGTGATTTTTATTTGGGAGAAAAATATTATTATATAATGATCTACTTTTAATTCAATTTGTTATTTAACAGGTTTTCTTTCATTATGATTTGTACCTTTCAGAATAATCTATGCATCAGCTCACAGGAAACTTTTTTTTTTTTTTGGCATTGGAACATTTCTAATAAACAGCATTCGTGTGCCACTGGGTTTTAGAAGAACATCCAGGAATTGATCTGCGGAAATTGTTCATTTTCATTATTTCATATAATTGGCTCATTTTCAATGTACATATTATTTAATTTTCCGCAACTGGATCTAGTCTAGATTTCAAGGGGAGGGGGCAGAAACTGGTGCCATCAGCTCATGTAGCAACGGTAGCCTTTCCTAGAAGTCAAGATTAACATTATTTCCTAGAATTGAAGTGAACAGCAGTGATCCTTTGTCAGTCTTTTCAAACAAAGGACTGATTTTTGGTTGCATAAGAAGTAAAATGTGTTTAAATGAACAAGAATACAATCAAATCTAACCTCATTTTTTATTTTAAACAAACTGGAATGTTTTAAGTATTTCAAACTTTTATACTCTGGCTCTTTATTTATCTAACTCAAACATTAGAGCAAGGGTGTCAAACACGATTTCATTGAGGGCCACAACAGGGTTGTGCTTGACCTCGGAGGGCCGGGGGTAGCCATGGGCAGTGGTGGGATTCAATATTTTTAACAACCGGTTCTGTGGGCGTGGTTTAGTTGGGGGTGCGTGGCTTGGTGGTCATGTGACCGGGTGGGCGTGGCTAGCTGGTCATGTGACTGGGTGGGCGTGGCTATGTGCATAGGGACTACTCAGAGGGCTGAAAAAAGTCATTTCTGACTGGTCCTCGCACTTATGACCATCCTCACATTTATGCCCATTGAGACATTCTTAACAACCGTGTCAGTCATTTCACCACTACTTCTCTTCACCATGGTGACAAGATAGGGGCAAAACATAAAATGTTAGTACAGTCGTAAGTGCGAGGGACTGGTCAAAAGTGCGAGGACCGGTCAAAAATAACTTTTTCAGCCCTCTGAGTAATCCATATGCACAAAAGGATACAGCAATAGAGAGGGATGAAGGAAGGAGAAGAGAGATGGAAGAAAGAAGGAGAGACAGGGAAGGAAGAGAAGAGAGGAAGGGAAGGGAAGGGAAATTAGAGTAAGAGTGAGGGTAAGAGAGGGAGGAAGAGAGGAGGAGAAGAAGAGGGGGGAAGAGAAAGTAAGAAGGAAAGAAAAGAGAGAGGTGGTAGGTTTGAGGAGAAAGACTGCTGTACAGTAAAAAAGATGAAATGGAAGAAAGGCAAGCCCAAACAAATATAAAGATATTAAGATAAAGAATGAATTGTTAAACTTTAAAGAATAAAAGAGAATAAATATGAATAAATAGCAATAATTAGAAACACACATACAAACATACAACGTATTTTCTTTGAACAGAGTATTTGGCCAGTTCACAAATTTAAACAGTGTTTAGTCATTTCAATTAAATTTACAATTTCTATATTTCCTTTTTGCCATATTTATTCATTATCTGTTTTTTTAAAAAAGCTGACTTTGTATAAATATACAAAAGGATGAAGGCTATTGCTGAGCACATTGTAAGCCGCCCTGAGTCTTCGGAGAAGGGCGGCATATAAATCAAAATTAAAAAAAAAAAAACAATATTACCCTTCATCCTCATCTCTAATCTTAATCAAATTCAATTTTTCCCTTCTATTCTATATTATACCCCTTCTCATTGTCATCTACTTTTATATCCATTCTCACATTGGTTAATTATGCAATATTACAGTTGTTTAATATAAATTCAACATTTTAATATAAATCAATTAGTTATATAGCTATCTTTTTTGTATATTAATCAATATGAACATGAATATTCCAATTATTTCCATGCAATCCAATTTCTTACAAATCAATTAATTATATTTACCAATAATAATAAACCAAATAATGTCCCCCATATATTCCTCCAAACCACAATTTAACCATTTCTGCTTTCAACACAATATACAATTAATAGTATCTCAATTATTACAATTCCCTATTTAAATAGAGCTTTTTTTCTTTTGTGTTTTAAAATCTTGAACTCTCCTCTTTTTCCCTAAAGAGGAACTACCTCTTTAGGGAAAACTACCTTTCCACTAAAGGTAGTTTGCACCTACCTTTTTTGGTGAGGAAAAAGAAAAGAAATCTGCCTGCCTAATTTTCCAACGTTGCAGCAACAGTAAAGCAGGCTTTTACTTTCAGTTTCGTTTTTCAGCATAGATAGGGGAAAAAAAGTCTGCACTCTTTGCAAGCAAGCAGCAGAGCCCTGAGCAAAACAGCTGAGAGCAAATCAGCTGAGAGTCGGGAGGCCGATAGAATCAAGGGGCTAATTAGCCTATGCTGAAGCTCCGAGGGCCAATAAAATTACAAAAAAACACCAAACCGTTTGTTAAATTGCTGGCTTGCCCGCCCCTCGTCCACCACTATTTATTGGCAATAAATAGTGGTGCAGAGGGGCGGGGCAAGGAGCAGGGTGAGCCAGCAATTTAACAAAGGGTTCGGCCGAACCCCCTAGAACCGGCAGAATCCCACCACTGGACATGGGGCATGGCCAGGGTGGGCTTGTCCAGGGTGGATATGTGACACAGGCTCAAGATGCTTTTTTTCCCCCTTTGTATTCAAACAGCTATTCCAGAAAAAGGGAGATTTACTTTCTGGCACAAATAGTCTCAATTCCATAATGTAGAAATTAAAGACATGTAGAATCCTCAGCTGCTATGTGGCTTGATTCTTTTATATAGGAGCAGAGCATAAATGAACTGACAATTTCTCTAGATGTCTCTAAAACCTGTCTGTCCAACAGTCTATTAATCTTTGTTACTACCTCTGACCCCTGGAGGAGGACTTAATATTAGTAATAGTTTACAGCATATTATATTATGTCCACAGTATTTCGCTGGTCTACTAATTTAGTCACTATTTATTAGTGGCTGGAGTAAAATGACATTTCTGGGGGGGGAGGGCAACTGGTTAGTTGTGACAAGTTCTCCTAACTCAACTTTAGATATAGCAAAATATTTGTATTTCTGTAAATCCCAGGAGATGAAATAAATGGTTATACATTTAAAATACAGGTGTCCTTCAGACAATGCAAAATGAATAACATTTTTTTAAAAAAACTAATATCTAACTTTATATTAATTTATGTTCCAGTAAGAAATTTTTAAAAACTAGGTATTTTAACTCTGTTATGATTTGTCAGGACCAGCTCTAGATTTCTTCTTCTTTACTTCCATCATAATCTACATACTTTAATCAATCCAGATA